AAACCAATCTGGGAATTGTGCAGAATATTAGGAGAATTGACATGCTCAAGCAGTCGCTGATTTAAACAGCTTGAGACACAAATTCCTCGGTAGTTTGATGGTTCATTTCTTCCTCCTGATTTATATGTTGGCGTAATAAGACCGCGACACCAAGTATTGGGCATTATACCTGAAGTAGGAATTGAGTTGAAGAATTTAAGATACGCGGACATCATTTCTTGAAGACTAGCTTTGATCATTTTGTCCGAGAATGCCGATTTGTTATTTTGCATTCTTTTATATATAATAAGCGGCTATAAAAATTTCATTTTCAGTGATCAAGTAGTCTAAAGAGGGAAACTGCCTTACGTGATGATCCAGAAGTTTTGGATCATTCGTTATTGACTTCTGAATAGGATTTAAAGGACTTTTCGAGTGAAGTGAACGGAAGTATGTTAACCAGTTATCCTCTGAGATTGATGGAATGTCGTCTTTATGTTTTCGTGTGCCATCCATTGATTTTAAACATTCCCAAAATGTTTTTTTTGTCTGAGTCTTCTGCATTTTCCTCTAACTCAGTGATTTTTGAGTTGTAGAAATATTTCTTTCCTTATTCAGTAGCTTTTTGTTGTCTGTTAAAGTATCATGATATTGTTCTCGTTAGTTTGAATTTAAAGGATCTCTGTGCTTTTGGTTTGAAATTTTCCTTAGCTCGTGTTTCCTTAAAGCGACATTCTTTATCAAACCATTTTTTGTTCGATATCGATTTCATTTTTTTATGATTTTTTTCTTATTCTTATCTTAAAGCATCTTTTAGCTGCTGAAATTAACAGGTGTCAGAAAGGCATCACTGCCAGAACAAACCTGCTCACTGTATAAAATGATTTACTATACGCGATAAGTTCAGTGAAAAAAAAAACAAACTATTTTTTTTAATATGTCTGACGGTGGGAAACCGTGACAAGCGAGAGATTTAACCACCCTGATTTCGGTATCAGTCCCCAAAACGAACGAGAGCTTTTGTTTTTTTCAAGGTAAAAAGTATGTTTTGTCATGCTTCAGTTACCCAAATAAAGAGTAATGTCAGTTTTACTAAACAAATGACTTGATTCAACTCGAAAGATTATTTCATGGGCGCTTTATTAAATAGTAAATAAACCGACGCAAAAGCTTTGTCTTGAAGATAATAAAATTTTAAAATTGACAGTGGAAGAGCAATTTGTTCGTCACGTACAAAATAGGGGAAGTTCTCCCTTTGTTCGTTTTAAAGTTTACAGCAGGGGAAGAGCCATTTGTTGGTCACGTTCCGGCAAAGGTTTCAGTTCTTAAGAACTAGTAATAAACATACAATTTCTCCTTACTGTATTAATACATTCTCAAAAAGCCAGGTGATGATCGAGAATAAAGAAATACAGCAACTATAAAATAATGTCGTGATGTCAAACTTGACTGCAATGCCGAATTTTCTAGTAAACGTCTAGTTAGTGTATCCATGGATACCATGTTTCGTCAATAATTATCCTGTCGAACTGCAGAAGTTTTCGGTTTTTTCGTTGTTGCTGTTTTTGTTGTTTTGTAAGGTGAATGAAGTAGATCTACAGCACTTGTTCATTTTAGCATCCAGTTAACACATTGTCAACCAGACTTTCTGGAATGATTATAGAATCCTGGGTACCAGTTTTTGTGTTTGAGTTGCACCAAAATAATGATGAGAATATATCAAAATCCGAAGACTCAAATAACTAATGTGTATATAGATATATTTTGTAACGTTTTTGCTAATTACACTGGAGTATGCTCATGCTGCTCATCATGTATGATTCGTGTTAACTGTAGAAATATTTTAGGCCTGCTTGCAGGTATGATGAATCCCTAGGGGCTAATAGGCCATTTAAGATTTTGTGAGTTGTGCAAGAGCCACTCAAAGGCATCTGGTTATCCAGTACTGTATTTTCTTTCTGATGATGTGTAACGCTTGCTGTATCCTGCATCAAGAAACGAGATACCCGCTCCTGATGCTGCGTTTGCGTTTATTTAGATAAGTTTAAAAATATTTTGTGATCGTTTCAGGGTGATTAGATTATATAAAGCAATTATTCACGGTTCTTGTGATCTGCAATTCACGCGCAATTTCAAGATTTCCACTTTTTAAGCTGATCTCTTGATGGGTAGAATTATTCCGTCTTTATAACTGATCAATTCGTCCGGGTAGCGCCGAGTTTGATATCTTATATCTCGTATCCAGCAAGGGCGTATGAATTTGTTTTATTAATTTCTTAATTATAAATCGCCTGGATGTTCTAAACATTTCATTTCGATCTAAACGAAGTGATAATATGAAAAGGCGGAAAAATTCGAACACAATGTTCATTTTTTGAATCAAAATAGGGTAGTGTGGAAGGTTAGCGAGACGGAGTTTTCTTTCAAAATTTTGCACTCTTTCTTACAGAAACTCCTCTTAAGTTGTCTAAACTTCAAGATGAGATAAAGGTGTACGGGAAAGTCTGAGCCTTACGCTTCGCTAAAAATTACATGCATTGCAGCCACAATCCAGGTCGCGTTCAGAATATTAAAAGCACCGCCCTTTCCCAAAAAATTAGTGGTAAACTTGTGCTAAAACCAAAACGCTCTCTATATGTTTTCTTCAGAATGAAATGGGGCAGGGATTTCAAAGACCGAGACTGCAAGTAGGCGCGATTGAGAGCGGACGTTGTGTAGGAGAAAGGACTTTTAAAGCGGCTGGAAAAGGAGCCTACGACTTGTCCGTCTATGTTGATTGTTCGCTATTCAAAGTCATTTGAATATTCATATTCTGCTGGAATTCGATGAATTTAATATCCCAAATACATTCAGTGTTACCGACGTAACACCTGGAGATGTCTTACTTCCGTATTGGTTCCTGAGAAGTTAAATATGTTGGTGACATCAAGAAAACGTCTTTTCCAAGTTTGACCGAGGAAAGGCAAATTGCAACCCGTCCCATCTTCGGGTGGAGCTCCCCTCCAGTCCGTAGGTATTTGGCCCCACGTCGCCAAGAGCTTTGTTTTCTTTTCCTTCCTGGTTACACTTGTTCTGGCGCCGTTGGGGCCAAATACCACTAAAACCCTTCGTTGCTCCGCGTCGACTCTCACTTCGATCGGAGTGATGTGCCCACCTCTTATCAATAACAGAGGATTCAAAGAGAATATGATATTATGCAAATGGTGTGCAAATAAAAAACAGTTTTACCTAGCTATTTCGAACTTAGTCCAGTTCTGGCACTCCTACTGTCAGTATTGCGTGACAGAGAGAGGGCCAGAACTAATGCCCCCTTTCTGTCCCAAGTGTGACTTTGTGAAAGCCTGATAGGTTAATAAACATGTGTCCATATTGTGGTCTCAAAAGCAGTACTCCGTAAAAATACAGCGAAACATTGAACATGAAACCCCTGGGCGCTTTCCATTCATCCAAAACTTCCGAAAACTCCGAAGCAGACCATTCAACCGAAAATTTCGGGAAAAAATCAAATGGAACGGAAATTCCCTGTGAGAAATTTCCGAAAATTTCGGTATACCTCGCCAGGTTGTCCTCTTTTCCAGATGCTGTTCCATTTGTCACATTCGTCCGTCACTGGAAATTTTCAGAAATTCAAACCGGAATTTTTCATCGAATGGAAAGCACAAGCGTTTTCCACGCACAGAGGAGGGAATTGGAACATTCTATAGTAGTAAGGCAGGTCCACATCAGTATTTAGGGCTTGCCAATTTCTTTAAACCAACATTGTCAAATAAAGATGTATGTATGTGTATGCATAACCCTGGATGTGTGATGAACAAATGGTCTCGCTATCATTTGTGATAACCTGGAAACCCAAAAATAACGACTACATTTAAAACATTTCTCAAAAATGAGGTTCATGGTCATAGTAATATTATCAGTTTATTTCAACTGAACACTTAACACATCATTAATTAATCACAATCATATTGTTTATATTGTTGCTGCTATTTGCAAAGTTACTTCTGAAAAATACATTACAGAAACACCTTTATCAAAATTAAGGATTATTTGCAGGGAAGTTTACACAACCAAGGTTACAACTTCTATGCAGTTTAAAGCACACTGACTAGTTTGTTTTGCAAAATGTGAAACCCACCCAAATGTCCAGAAGGGATTATACAGATATCTTCAAAATGGGGGATCAGGCGAGAAACGAAGAACAAGCAAATACATGACACGAGCTAGATATTATTAGCAGATCATATTAAATATCTATATCGTTTACAAGGCATTTGATTCTGTTGGTTTGACTTTACTTAAAAAGTAGTTTCTATTATCAGGCCCAAGAGCAGTGCTTTCAATAGCACCAGGCGCCCATCAGAGCACTGGCGGTAACTTCGCTGCCAATCCAGCGGTTTAATAAAAGTTTACAGCAGGAGGACAACTGGTTTTCACAGGCAAGCAGAACTGTCTGAACTGAATATAGGCAGTTTTTCCAATGCTGCTAGATATGAATACCAAAGTTATTAATAAAGTTATTTTACCAAAAATATTTACTTTCGCTTCTGTTATATTGCACATTCTTTGTAAGTTCATATATTCTACTGTGTAATCATCAATAATTCAACTGTGGTAGTGGCCAAATCAAAGGCAGATTTAGGGGAAGGGGGTGGATTGGTTGGCAGGGCACCTCCTTTTGAGGAAGCAAAAAAAAAAGTAGAAAAATTGAAATAAATTATGAATATCAAAGGTACAATCTGGATGGTTACCTCATTGTAATTTCTACATTGTGATATTGCTAGTATTTGTGGTGTAACAGCTTTAAATGAGGTTATAATTCTTAAACTGAAACAGTTTGGAAGCATACCCCATTGATTCTTCAACTCCAAGGTACCATCCACCCCCCCCTGCCCCTCCCTGAAAAGTCCTGGATCTGCCCCTACTTTGGCAACTATACACTTTTCTCTTTTTAAATGTAATTTTGCATTTCTTTTTTCTTCTTCTGATTTTGTACTTTTGTTAATTAAATGAATTTCATGTAACTACACTAAGTGTAAATAAATGAAATTGCATTAAACTGAACGTCTTTTGTTATAAGAAAAACTTTCCCTTAGATGGTCAAAACAGGAAGGGAAAATCATCCTTACAGCTAGTGCCCGGCCCTCAGTGAAACCCCTGGAATCACCAGCTACTTGTAGTTTTTAAAATGGGCTGTTTGAAAGAAGTTGTTACGAGCCTCTCTCAGTGTACCAGGGAAGCCACCCACTTCAAATCTTATCAAAAACACTTTTCAAAGGTGTATGATTGTCTGTTTTAACTCAACAAAATAACTGAAATTCCTTCTGAAGATTTCCTATATTTGATTACCTATTTGCTTTACAATATACTGTTACCACAAAGTCACAAAAATTCAAAGGATTTAATATTCATCAAGGTGGGTGTATGAGTAGTGATCCAAGGTTTTCACTGAAGGCCAGGCACTGAGAAAGATTTGTTGATGTGTACACTTGCTTCTTAAGTGGTTAACTCTTAACTCGTGCTTAACTCCTATTTGAAAAAAAAAACTGACTCCCCTGTGCCAACCTTGAATTTAATGAAGCTTATCATTGCCTCCTAGCTTAAGACAGTTTGAATAAAACACATGTTAATTTAAAAAAAAAAATAATAATAATAATAATAAAACCAAATATACCTCAAGAAAAATGATCTTGAAGTTGAGAAGCAGTAACAATTGTCACCTAAACTATAACCTCTAAGTTTAAGACATATCCCTAGGAACATTTCCCATAATGTTGAAGACTTCATTGATCAATTCATGTTTATGCCAACCTGAACCACAGTTTCCATATACACTTATTCAAGGAGACAAAGTAAGATCAATCACAGGAGGACCATCCTTGTCAAAGTTGCTGTCAACATTTGACAACTTCTTCTGATCACTTTTCTTGGGAGTGTCAAATGTCAGGTCAATAACCGCATTATTTCCTCGATCAGAGTCATTTGAAGATCTATCGATTGATGTCAATGAGCAATCTCTTCCCTTTATTTGCCAACATTGATCTGAAGTGAATTCCACGCTCTTCACGTCCCCAGGTACTGCTTCTAATATTTCCATGATATACCCATCAACAACTAACTCCGACAGAGGTGCAAGACATTTACAAATCTGACAAGAAGAAGAAAAGAAGAACAGACCAAGTTGCTGACAACATACAAAGTCATTTCTGTCCTATAAACTCATCATGAAAATATAATTTAGAAAACTAACTCTCTTTAGCTGACATGTTTAGGTGATGTAGGGGTGTACATGTATATTGTTAATACAGGAGTGAAAATACAAAAACAATTAAATGTCAAAAAGACATGGCTAAAACTTCAAGCTTATTTCTCCAAATCACAAATGGTGGTGTCATTTTTTTTTTAAAACTTGTGATAAAGTATCAATATCATAAAATCCACAACCCTCCTTAGCCTCCTACATAGACACTCTGGCTCCACAGGGAAACTTCCTCCTCGTAAACCTCTGGTGAAACACAGGGCTATTTACACAGCACAATCACATTGCACTTGTCTATCAAGGTTAGCAAGACATTTGTTTGGCTAGTTCCTCTCAAATGCTGGAAACCTGTGGGAGGTCTGCTTAGATCACAAGACACCAAAATATTAGTGTTGCTGCCGTGGCATGGCCTTTCAACGCATGTGTGAGACATTCACAATATTATGTTTAAATCCTCTTCAAGAAACTATAGTGAATTCAAGGTGACATTCAACAGTTCACATTGACCCAGTTCCCAACATGATCTCCAGCTGATCTTAACAAACAAAGGGAAGGAATCTGCTGTTTGTTTCAAAAGAGGTTTGTGGGGGAGGAAGATTGTGTGACAAGCCCAAAGAGCGTCTGCATAGGAGGCTACACCCTCCTCAGCTGGAACAGATTTTACATTTAACAGATTGTACATTAACTTACTGGACATTTCCACTTCTCAACATGCTTCTCCCACATCAGTTGGAGATAAGCTTCTCCATCAAAACAATGAATGTGTGTGCAGTTCCTTCCTCGCACTGGAGTCCCCATCCGTGAACGAGTCAGTGGACATACCAGTGAGATGTCTATAGAGTCTAGTTTGGCTTCAGTATGGGACACCAAGCTCTGGTGCAATCGTGCCTTGGTTTGAGCTGCTGGAACAAGACTTGCTGTCTTATATGTTTCCAAGATTCCACTAAAACTAAATAACAACAAAAACATAACTTATCAGCCATGAATGTTGGGAGAGCAGGGATAGCGTAGTGGTGAGAGCACTCGCCTCCCACTAATGTGGCCCGGGTTTGATTCCGGCCTAGTGCAATATGTGGGTTGAGTTTGTTGTTGGTTCTCGCCTTACTTTTTGAGGGTTTTTCCATTCTTTTCTTTGTTGTGTGGCAAAAAGCAATATAAAAATTATTCTTTCCCAATTTTTCTTTTTCTTGGAGTGCGAAATTTCCCTAAATAAATTTCTCTTCAGAGAGTACCTCTTCAATTAGGTTGTTTGTGTAACCTTGCTTGCATAAACATGATTTGAAGATACTTATATTTTCGCCATAGTGTATTCTACAAGAATTTGTCTTAAGACGTCTGAGCGCTTCCCCTTTGATTTTTTTCAATCAATAACAATTGACATTCTTGAAGACAGGAATTATCGATGGTTAGCAATTTTTGTCAATCAATAGCAATCAATAAAAAATTCTCCGTGAGTTTGATTGTTATTGATTGCAGATATCAATCGATAGAAATTGGCAGTTAATAGTGATTGAATTGATTGATTTCCGATATTGATATTGTATCGATTGACTACAGTACATCTGATTTACAAGCCAACTATATTATGAGAAAGGCATTACCGCTGTCACAACCTCTTCCACATGTAGCTTTGTAATGATTTGGAGGCAGCTTGTTTAAACTCCCCTTCCCTTCCCATATAGTGCCAAATCATCCCCCCAACCCCATCACAGTAACGATGTTGATGTCTGATTGGTGCATTACTATGGAATGCCAGAACTGTCTTATGATACTTTTTTTTATTATATTGGGTGGTTATGTCATTATATTTAGTACTTAAGTTATTATATTTGGTGATTAACTCATTATAAACGGTGCTTATTCCATTATACTCGGTGCTTATGTCTTTATATGCGGTGCGGTCTTCATTATATTTGGTACTTATTCCATTATATTCGGTGCTTCCCTCGTTATATTCGGTGCTTTCTTTGTTATATTAGGTGCTTTTTTCATTATATTCGGTGCTGTTTTTATTATATTCCGTGCTTTCTCCGTTATATTTGGTTCTAACTTTGTTTGGTGTTTTCTTCATTATTATGGGTGCTAACACTATTATATTCGGTGCTCTCTTCCTTATATTCGGTACTTCCTTGTTCGGTGCTTACTTTATTATATTCGGTGCTTTCTTCGATATGATCGTCACCAGCCTTCGCAAGGGACCGTACAATTTGGAGGTAGTCTAGGGAAAGCCGGGAAAAACAGGTGTCACGAAAACTCAGACCCCGAAACCTCAGACCCCTCGAAATTAAAAACTAAATTGTTATCACCTGAATTGCTCTAC